TGAATCTTACTTCAAGACAAAGAAATTGCTCTTTGATACTTGAAAAATCAAGGTTGCATTGACTGACAGGCAGATGCAATCTCAGCTTTGCGTAAAAATGGCCTCCCACTTCGAACAAACTGAACAGCATTTCTGTCAGCTTTTGTGGAAAATGCATGAATGTATTCATACATATTTATTTTGAAAGGGAATTCATAGCCAACTAAGCATATCTAAAGAATATACATGAAGTGGCATGCTGGTCAAATTATTCATTTTCTTTTGCTAGTAGGGGGTACTTGGAAAAAAAAACCTGGCATAATGCTCATTTTCGGCAATATACTGAACTGTCAGTCAGCCAATACAATCACAGTATTTTAGAGAAGATGAGCAACTCATCTGCACTAATTAAATTTCACTTGCTTGGCCTAGACCACCAAGTGTCAGGACTTCTAGTGGCCTCTCTAATATGGTTGTAAAGAAATACGATTTTTCAAACATGGAAGTTGATTAATTATTCCAGAACGTTTTGCAACCCATTTCTCCTAAAAGCCTATCATGCATGTTTCTTCCAGTAGCTTTTTCTAAAGACTTCCATCACACTCTCTGTAGAAAACTCTTAAAAGAAAAAGCAAGAAGATATACAAAATTCTTGCAGCCTTGTTACAAGCTGTCATGTTGGCAACTACCATTTTCACTAACGATACTTCAAGATGTATTTTTAAATTACTTAAGAGAATTATAGGGATTACCAGCCTCACTGCAGTGTTAAATGTCAGCTCTTCCAGGCTTTCTGTAATCCTGGGACTCTTTTTTTTTTTTTCATTTGGTGTACAGTTTGGGAGAGTTCGGATTATGTACAGTTGAATCAGAGTCTCCCACAATCCATTTCGAAAGGTGACCAGCATTTCACCAGCACATTTGAGAATGAAACAAGGGCTCTGATTTTATCCCAGTTTTTGCCTGCCATCCACTACTGTTGGGGAAGTGCTATCAAACGCTGCATTCAACAACTACTTGAGCTGCGCTTTGCATGTGCCTTCAAAACTTCCCCCAAGAACTACGAGCCTGATGCCTGGCCACCCCATTGCAAAGGACCTGCACAGTCCTGGAGACCTTGTTGTAGCTACTCAACTTGACAATATTAGTTTGAATCGGAGCTTTGCAGAAGTCGCTCCCAGAGATTTTTTTTTTTTCCTTCTACTTAACTTTTCCTCAAAATGAAATGTAGTTTGAGTGTATGTGATAACGATGTGTTCAAATTATTTTTGAAAATAAAATTATTTCTGTGAGGAAATGGAGAAACAGAAATAAACAGAAATGGGAGAGGGGGACTGAGAAAGAATTTGGGAAGAAGAGGGTTTGCTATGGTCAGAGGGACAAACAGAACAGACGTGAGGACCAGTGCAGGGATGGAAACAGGTAATTTGGCAGAGAGAATCTGAGATGGGGTGCATGCCAGAACCCCATTTTCCTTCTTTTGTGCATAGCAAAAGCCCCTCGGGAGTATCAAAATCTTATTCTCATCTCCTCTCAAGTCATCTGGAGCCTGAGGGGATCCTTAATGTTTGGGGGACTCCTCTCTCCCTGTGCCCTGTCCTTCTGTCGTGCACCTTCCCAGTGCAGACAAGCCTCTTGGAGGACCTCTCTCTTTGGGGAGTCATTAACCCCAAGGTGTTTAAACACTGGGATCATGGAATGAAGGTAATGGAAATAAAAATCTCTTAAGCCTCAGAAAGACAAAATTAAGGGACAGATAATGCCTCCACATGGTGGAAAGCTGACTATGGTACGATGAAGAAAATAGTCTTGTTCAGGTGGGACTGGTTGGGGTGGATGCAGAGCCTGCCTAGGGCAGCCTGGCAGAAGGGAAAGGCAGCCTACCTAAGGTGATGTGGATGGCAGGGGCACAAGACTGGTGCAAATACAGCGTATGCTGCACAATGAGCCGTGCATGTAATTCCATCTGTGACACACACCTCTGCTACAACAGTTCACATGCCACCATCTTCCTTCATCCGACAGGCTTGATGGGGTAGGAAGGAAAGTATCAACCAGAAAGAGTAGCATAGGGACAGTATTTTCTGTGACCACCACACAGTAAAACCATCCGCGGTTGGGAACAGTCTGCCTATTTCTTTTCACCACACAGTCCAAATATTTTTAAGTGGGACCATGAGATCCACTCCCACAAGACAGAAATTAGGACAGGTGCTTGGGAACCACATATTATTTTCCAGCTAGCCACAACAGCATCACCAGCAGTAATTGCAAATGTATAACTAATCATTAAGGCGTTACAAAGAACACATACATTGTTAATAAAAAATTTCTAGGAAATTCAATAGCATGAAGCTTTACTAGTGCAGGATAGCAGGTGTTTCATGGTATTTGTTCCCCTTCTAGAACTTAAAGCTCAGGAAAATGGAAAAAAATACACCAACCTGCCAACAACAAAACTTCCAAAATGGAAAATACCAAGTGAAGGTCACACAATCTTTGTTCTACCTTTCTGACTAGTTATTCCTAGACACACATTTGTACCTTGTATATTCAAAGTGTTGTGAATATCAGCCATCTACACCGTCCCTATAATCAAATCAAAAGCTGCTCCTTGGGAAAAAACCCTCCCGTCTGCTATGTTTCACAACGCTTTCACCAATATGTGTCACCAAATTCTATGTTTTCATTACCCATCCTTAAACCCACACGTCACACATATCTCCCACCTAACTGCTGGCAGCCCTGTCACAAGACCATCAATTTGTCCTCTCATTGAAACTCTACAGAGCAGCATGGAAATCAAATGCCACGCCACATACCCATCAGCCAATTTCCCTGATCCAGATACAGAGGGTAAAATAGAGGGGATCCGTATCTGCATTTAATACCAGGGAGGCATATAATCCCTTTTGGTCACTGCCAGCTCACAGAAAACAAATTATTACAGTTATTGGAGTGTGCAGCTTAACTTCTAGATCTTCAAAGTTTGAAGCAACTGCATTTATCTTTCAATTTTACTTCCTTCCTGACTCAATTTACTATTGTTGCACTTAAAGCCTACACAACAGACTTGCTGTTTTATCAATATTATCAATTCCACCTTTGGAGAGTCTCTCTCATGTAAAGCACAACAGTAAATAGAAAAGTGAATAAAAATGGTTTAATATAACATAGTTCTATAACTTATGTGGTTTATCTTCAAGGCTGTCACTTTTTTAAAGCACAAATACAGACTGCAGCATGTTGAGGGTGGGAGAGAGTAAAGGGAGGGAAGAGAAAAGTTAGATTCTACTACTCAAATACCAGAGACAGTATTTGGACATAAACCAATTTCTTCTGAGGCTGTGACTGCTAGATCTGCTAAATCTCATGCTGATTCCCACCAGATAAGTTTTTTTTTTTTTTTAAACTTTTTGGTAAAAGGCAAAAAAAATCTTTAACAACATGGAAAGCTAGAAACTAGGCATCCACAGCCTGACGATTTTTCTACAGGAAAGAAAAAACAAGGGTACCATCAGTTTTCAGCTGCCAATGCTTCCAAACACAAAACCTGCCTTCATGTTTGTATCTTTGTTGCTCCTATTGGAGTTGAACATGACAAAATCAAAGATCAGGAGGAGCTGCATGCATGCGTGGATGACAGAAAGTAGAACGCTGAAAAATTCAACGTTTGGGTAGTATGTGATCAAAGCTATCAGTTTTGTTTTGGTCTCCTGCTGTGGCCTTACCAGAAGCAGCTTATCTGATCAAGTAATAGAAGACTGTGTACAAAAGGCAAAAAAGCACTTGGATCAGGCAACCTGTGATTAAAACAGTTATGAAGCAAATACATCCCACAGACTATATTTGTATATATTTAAGATTGCCAGATTGAAATGAGTCCTTTTCTAGTAACATCACATTTGCTTCATACTCCATTTCACACTGATGACAAAAATCATGATAGCAATCACAGAACACAGTCTGAAATGAAGTAGTTCACTGTACATGAGCAAACTTATGGTACTGATTTGCCAACAGCTAGAACATAAAGTCTCAGAATTGAATGAGCACAATAAGGAAATACTGGAGCAGTTTAGATGACAGAGGAGGTTAATAAAACATAAGATACTGTAAATGTAGTACATGATACACAGAAAACAGATCAGGAATTGGGGAAAAACATCACTTTGCCTTTCTGCATTTCTTTTGATGATTCTAAAACTAGTTACGGACAATTCTCTTCCTGAAATTTCCTGCTTTGCATTTCTCTATTTACAAAAACTCACAACATAAAATGGTGATTTAATTAAACCCCACATGCTTAAGTGTGGAGTTAAAATGTATAAGTATGTATTTCATATAATGCACAATTCAATTCAAAATCTTATTACTAGAGAACATTATCAAGTTAATTATCCACATGATATATGAATCACATGGTAAATTCTAGATGTATCGGATTAAATTTTCAAAAGTAACTAAATGATTCTGTTAAATTTAAGTCTCGTGGTTTCCATGCCACTTCTGACATTTTCAGCCATTATTTTTTTTTAGCAAGCATGCCAGTTTAGGTCTAGCACTTCTTCCTGTACTCCTTCCTGTTTTGGGCATTTTAAATATCTTTTCAGAGGTGCTCTTCGTCTAGCATGGCACAGTATTAAGTGGAATTAAATCTGGACTATCCACACAGAAACCCATACGCAGGAAGCTTGTCCTGACCAGACCAATGTAAACCTTTAAGTCCTCAGGAAATTCAGCTTAATCACATTTGAATATAGCCATACATTCATATGTTCAGGTATGAAGAGGCACAATGTGTGCTCGAGTTAAGAGTTTTGCACATGATGGAACGCAGAAGTCTACATCATCCCACCAGACAATACCAGAGGGAGGTACAAGTCCCACACCAGCCTTCATTCCTTCCCTACAGTAAATCCACCCCAAAATCAAGACTGAAGTCATCTATCCCTAGTAAAGCAATAATAAAAGCATCAAAGTCAGATATTACATATCCATTTGTAATAAAGCACTCCTACCTTTTCAGTTTCATATAGTTTTCACTAGCTGCAGGTCTGCATTCAGCACGTTGCACCACTATTCCTTCCAAGGAAAGTTTATCTAGAATGAAAAAACCAAAGCAAAACTGGACATTAAAATAACATTCACCAACATGGTCAACATCTGAAATATTTTTCACTAATTCAGCATTTGGTAAATATAATGTAATTAGAAGTTCTTAAATCAAGTTCTAAATTCTCTGCTATTTAGACACCAAAGAAATAAGCAGGAGAAACATGCTTGCACAGCTGGTATCCCCTAGACCTCCTTATTTTGCCATCAGGTGTTTTACATATTAAGAATAAATCACAAAGATCAAATTTTAAATAAGAGATGGTAACTGTGTGGTCCTCCTTTCTCTAGATTGTTGCACTCAGCTTATCTAGGAACTGTTTTCTGGAAATGTGTGTTGAATACAGGCAGTGACTATGAAAAAAAAAAATCTACAAGGAGAACCCGATCATCAAAGTATCCAAAACTAGTGGAAGATAAAATGAGAGCTAATTTTATTCCTATCCTCAGAAAAAGAGTAACCTGTTTTCATGTTATTACAATTAAAAAAAGATTGTTCACTAAAGGAACATAATGCAATAAAGTAATAATACTACATATGCTAACACTCGGGGAAAAGAAATAAAAACTTGCAGTTAGTAATCTAGGAGATCACATACTAAGTTTTAGTTTATACTGCTCTCTGTACATTCACCTCTGTAATACAGTCGCTTTGTAATCCATTGTGAACACCTTTCTCCCTAAAGCAACAACGACTAACAAAGCAGTGCAATAGTACCAGCCTACTCCAAAAAGGTGGAAAAGCCTAAAAATTAAAAGCAACTTGATGTAGAAAGGAAGCGAGATGTGATGGTGGCCAAATACCTGCTCTTCTACTACAATGTTCTAGTGCATAGTGTGTCTGTGTGGGGGTGGGGAGGGTGGGCAACTTAACTATCTCTTTTGGGCATAGGCAGTGCAATATATATAAAACATACACCTCTGGGAACAGCTTTGCATAAAGCTAAGAAACTCATCCTTTCCCGTTAACGGCTGGGGGGTCTGACTGGATTATCTCTTGCTATTTAAAATGCCCGTCGAACAGAGCGCCTTGTCTTGCTACTGGTGTAGGGTTCTACATTGTCACCCTCACCTTCAGCTGGCAATGTCACAGAAGATAACGGAAACGCTTAGTAGTACTGATGCCAAGTAACACAAGGCACTCTTTCTGAGACCCCTATAACTTCTCTATCGCTTTATAGACTGAAATATTATCTCTTGCTATTTAAAATGCCCGTCGAACAGAGCGCCTTGTCTTGCTACTGGTGTAGGGTTCTACATTGTCACCCTCACCTTCAGCTGGCAATGTCACAGAAGATAACGGAAACGCTTAGTAGTACTGATGCCAAGTAACACAAGGCACTCTTTCTGAGACCCCTATAACTTCTCTATCGCTTTATAGACTGAAATATTATTACATCTGGAAATCTAAGTCTGCTCTCCCTGAATAATGAAGAGAGTGATTACTTTGACACCAAGTATTTAAAAATTATTTAATTTAAAATTTCTTGGTTTGATTTAAACTAAATCCTTCAAAGGATAAGAATGCCATACTTTTCCAGGTACTTTTGAATGAAACAAAGCAAAAAGCAAAGTTTTACAAAAACACTTCTGGTTTTACAGATTCCTAAGGTTTACAATCAGGAGAGACAACTTGGCCAATTTGCCTGACCTCCTGTGTATCACAGACAGATAAATTTTATCCTCTTTCTTCTGTACAGAATCTAATAACTTATGTGTGGCTAACGTGGTACTAATATTGCTGCTTAACTTCTAACACAAATTTGCCTCCAGCTTCTAGCAGTTGGTTCTTCTGATGTCTTTCTATACTATGCTAAAGAGCCTGTTTTCTCCCTGTGAAAGTACTTATACATTGTAATCAAGTCACTTCTCAATCATCTTTTCAATAAATGAAGTAATTCAAGCTCATGCATTATCTCACCACAAGGCATTTTATGCCACGCTTAAATCAGTTTTGGGGCTCTTATCTGCACCCTGTGCAATCTTGCAATGACGTTTTAAGAATACGGAGACCAGAAAATAGACATAATACTTCTGTACTGGTCTTACCAAAACCACAGAGAGGTAAAATAACAGATACAGGAGAAGAGGCTGGAATTTCTGTCTCCTCACTTGAGCCATCTCAAGGTTACTCAGCAGACTCTCTGAATTCAGGTGAGAGAGGGAGAAAGGGAGACTTTCAGAAGAAAATTGGTCCCATCTCCTTTAGGATTCAATGATCTCCCTGTCTGGTGGGCTTTTTGTGGTTTTGGGGTTGGTTTTTGGGGAGGGGGTGGGGG